TTTAAAAATAATTGGATTTTTTTAAAAAATTAATAATTAATTTAAAAAATTCACAGTGTTATATATATATATATATATATATATATATATATATATATATATATATATATATATATATATATATTCGATGAGGGAGAAGAAGAGAGGTAAAAATGTGTTTTAGATAATTTGACTTGATTTTTTTAAAAAATAATAATCGGTTAAAAAAGTAATTTGGCTTAATTTTTTTAGAAAAAATTGATAATCGGTTAAAATATTCACAGGTTTTATTTGGTTATATATATAATTAGAATTTATCGAAATCAATTTTATAGTAATTTTTATTTAAATTTATTTGTTTTGATATATTCTATGCGATTTAAGTAGATTTTTTATATATTTTTTTATTTATTTTATATACTTGACTTCTTCAAATTCAGACAACGAGAGTACTTGACTTTGCATGTTTGAGTTTTCGTTGTAATGATCTTGACGCAGAGCTGCAACAGTAGCTATTGTTGCTGAGAGAGCAAAGAAGAGTTTTAGCAAATTCATGACTAATAACATGAAGCAAGCTGGTTGGTTGCAAGAAGATTTTATTGATGGGATTTTATAGAGAAATTTTCGTGCTAGAGTTGACTACAGGAAAATGGAGATGCAAGTTTTGCTTTCTGTTTGCAGACTTGATTCAGGAGACTCCTTAGAAATCACTAAATACCTTAAAACCTAACAGAAAAAAATTGATTAAATGTATAAGGAAATTTGGCCTCCCAGTGATTCCGTCTCCCCATTGTAAAGTAAGCTGATTGACCGAAAAAAAAAAACAACTAAATAGCTTGGACTTTTAACTTATTTGAAAATGAGTTATTAAACTTCAAATTTGATTTTTAAGATTTTTGGAACTTCTAATTTTTTTAAATTTAGTCAATTCTTCAGTTTTATTTCATTTGTCCCCCCCCCCCCAAAAAAAAAAAAAGCAATCACTTAAACAACTATATGATGAAAATCATTAAATAAGATTTATATAGGGTTACTCATAAAAATTTGAGATCATTGTGGCTTCTTTTTTTCTGATTTTTTTTTTATTTTTAATGTTAAAAAAAAATATACTTTTCAATTTTAAAAATTCTAGGATTTTTTTTTTTAAAAAATGGATATGATTTTTTTAACACGCCTGTAAAATTTCAACTCAAAATATCAAAAATTAAAATTTTTAGATGAAAGGATGATAGCTGCATGTTATTATTAATTAGGTGGACTAAATCTCAAAAAATTTAAAGTTTAAAAACTCAATTTCGAATGAATTAAAGTTCAGAAGATGTTTCACATTTAGCCAAAAATAAATTATTTTAGAGTAATTTGGAATGAAGACAAAGAAACAGAATATATAATTGGTTTAGTTAATAGAGCTGCGAAAATCACTATTTTTAATATGTTTATTTGTCCTACGAAAAAAAATCAATGCCTCCAATATCCAATCAAGTCCCTAAACTCCCATTAAGAACAAGGAAGGGAAAAAAAAAAAAAAAAACGTAAAAGATCTGCTTGCCCAATCTTTATCTAAGACTTCCACCATTGCACTCGTTAATTCATTATACTGCTAGAAGCTACCAGTTATAAACACTTAGAAAGAGGTGTGTGTATTTTGAACATAGGATAAACTTTCTCCCAATTCCTTTTCGTTATGGACCCATAAAATTGGCTTGCAAATTGCAATTTTAATTAAGTTCTATTTCAAATATTGGCTTTAAAGTTGCAATTTTTATCCCCCAAATTCATATTGCCTACATGGTCATCTATTTACAACCTGTGTAGAATCGAAAGGAGAGTAAAGCAGGCCACGTGAAGGAGAAAAAGGCATGGATAAAAGATAGAATATTAAAATGGGGAATTAACTCTACTTGTCGTTATATATTCTATGTTCCGTTTTCAATTTATTTTTATAAGTCAAATTTCTCCCAATTTTTTTTTCAATATAGTTATTTTCCAATCTCTTATTTCCATTAAATATTACCATCCAAACATATAAAAATATATTAGAGAACATATCTCACATTAAATAGTTAAATAAAAAATGAGTAATATATAAAATTGTTAAGAAATCACCTACTATAAGGTTTAAACATTTTGAATGGAACACAATCTTAAATATTTAACTCTATATAATATAAGAGCTTCAAAGAGATTCAACGATTCAGAAAAAATTTTGAAACCCAAGCCATTGGACAGGTTCCAAAAGATGGATTGCAAATGAGAATTAATGCTAGAAAACATATCTCTTGTTGAATAGTTAAACCAAAGATAATTAATATAAAAAATTAAAAATAATCCTCATACCATAAAACTTAAGTTTTCCGGATAAAACTCAATTTCAACTACTAACTCTATATAGTTCAACTACTAACTCTATATAGTATGATCAGAATCTCAAATAAGTCCAACAATTCAACAAAGTTCTATTTCAAAAGATGGATTGCAAGTGCTAGGAAGTATTAGAGAACATATCTCATATTAAATAATTAAATAAAAGATAAATAACATATAAATTTGAGAAGGAATCACCTACTATAAGACTTATAAATCATTTAGATAGGACATAATCTCAACTACCTAACTTCGTAGTAAGAAATCTAAACGCATATTAATTTACTTAAAAATAACCATGTGATAAAAAAAAATTAACACTATATGACAATGTGTTTTTTTTTTCAAAATTATTTCTTTAATGAATTATATTTTCCTACGCATATGGAAATATCTACTAAAATGATAAATTAGAGAACCACCTAAAATAAAATAATGGATTAAGAACATTGAATTAGATTTGTGAAGACATGATATATTGAAAATCTATTCCTATAATACTAAGTATATGTTTCGAAATGCTTTTCAAACACATAATAGGTAAATTAAAGATTTATTTTTGTACCTGAAAAAATAATAATTATTATAATTAATAAAAAGAGATAGAAACAAAATAATACGGTACCATAATTAAAGAGGTAGAAGTCCTCTGAAACAGTGCTAGAATACTTCTTTTCTGACCATGGATGTGGTTGAAAATGATGACGATGATGATGATGTTAATAATAATGATGATAGAAGTACTATTAGCAAGACTTAAAAAATAATGCTATTCACATACGAAACTGCAGGAGGAATCCCTGATGTCCAAGGCAGCTGGAAGTCCTTTTTCTTTCGTTTTACTCTCCATCAATTTCTCCTCAGATAGTTGCCACTAATCCGTACCTAAAAGCAGCAATTACTACTTTCTTTCTTTCTTATTTATTAACCTGCATGACCATGAAGCAACTACTTATATATATTATAAATAACATACCAATATATATTTTAAAATAATCTTAAAATATAATCACTTAAAATAGAAATTTTCGTTTTTTCAAGTCACCAAAATCATTTATAAGAAAACCTATATTAAAATTTTCAGTAATTTCTTTTTTAATATATACTATCAAAGAATAAAAAAGAAAGACATTTTTCATTTTGTTATGAAATTTAGTCTTGACTATGCTTATAGTTGAAAATGACCGCTCCATGGTAGCCATAGAAACCGAACAGTAAGAATAAGTGTTATCATTTTATACACAAGTGGATAATTTTTAAATTTTTTTATCTTCATCAACCATTGATGTAAAATCAAATGTAACTAACAATATTTTGAAATCATAAGGATTTCGTACATTATTAAAATGCTTGAATTGCATCTTTAATTGCGGTATTTCATGATCGATAAAGTCTTGAGGATAAAATTTATGAACTAACTTACAAATAACATCAATCCTAGATGATATGCGTATCTCTTTAGGATACTTTTTCTATATTAATTGAATATTTTATATGTGTTTTTGATGCATGAATAGTAAATTTTTATACAAAATAAATATTTTGAGTGTTTTAAATATGTATGAAAAATGTTCTATTTGCATAGAATATTTGCTTGAGGAGTGTTAGATTATTCTGTGCCATTGGGTGAATTTTTTGATGTTCGGTGAATATTTTCGATGCATGAATAGTATTTTTTGTGCAAATTAATTATTTTGAGTATTTTGAATGTTTTTGAAAATTATCCAATTGGTACGAGTAAAATCATTAAAGAGGTGCAAGAATATTCTATGAACTTAGGTAAATTTTTCTATGCATAGAGAATATTTTCTATAGAAATAAGTGTATTTTTACATTTATTTAAGCCCTCAAATAATTATTTTGTATAAAAATATACTCATTTTTCAATAGGTTAATTAAAATTCCAATTGAATCATTCTTTAAAAAAAAAAAAATCAATTAAGACATGAATTAGGATGATGTCATATTGAAAGTAGAATTGTGACAAAATAAAAAAGATGATAAAAAAGTGTAGCATGGCATGGGATGTTTCATGAGGAAAAAAAAACAAAAAAAGTTGGATAGGGTGGGGGGGCAGGCCCCTGTAGGGTTCTGCCTAGGTCTGCTCCTACTACCTACTACCATCTCCACTTTCTTTTCTAATTAATTAAGCATAAGATAGTGTGAATTGTACAAGTTTTAAATCCAAAGGGCTTTTACTAGAGAAGATGTGTTACAGAGTAATATAAATCATATTATGAGATGTCACCTAATAGTTTAAGTTTTTAGGTTGAAATGGTGTTTTGACACTTAGTGAAGTCCAAACATTGAAAAGGGAAAAATCCCGATGGAAAAAAAATAGCCATCTAGGTTTGTTACTTTGGTCATTAATTTAAATTCTTTAGACTTTTTCATCAATTATTAACAACAAAATAAAAATTTTACACAAACAAAATTAATTTTCTTGTTATTTTTTTATTTTTTTATTTTAAATATATACAACTAATTAGTTTGAGGGATAAAATCACAACTATATACTCTCATATTAATGTGATGGTATGACTTGTACATTAAGCCAACACACCACACTCTTATTTAGAGAAAGAGACTCAATTCTGCAGAAAAATAAAAGAAAATAATGAAGTATATATCAGAAAATTATACAGTTTGTGAACCAATCATGCGTAACTACACATCCCATAAACACAAAATTCCCCTTTCTTGCACTTCTTATTGCATCCACCGCAATGTCTTTTATCAAAAGATGGATTCACACACTTCCCTTTGCAGCATGTTTCAGTGTACTTGCATTTGTAACCACACGTTCCACAGTTCAAGCGATCGGTCTTAACATCAACGCATTTCTTGTTGCAGCAGTCTGGCCCTGGACTTCTCTTCAGTCTACAAATCCGAGGGAGTTTATTGCATGTCAAATTGGCTATCAGGTTCTGCTGAGCCAGGACGCGGCGAACCCCTCGTAGAGAAGTAACTTCTCGAATTTCAGACAACGAGAGTACTTGACTTTGCATGTTTGAGTTTTCGTTGTAATGATGATCTTGATGCAGAGATGCAACAGTAGCTATTGTTGCTGAGAGAGCAAAGAAGAGTTTTAGCAAATTCATCATGGCTACTAATATGAATCGAGCTGGTTGGTTGGAAGAAAATTTAATTGATGGGGTTTTATAGAGAAATTTTTGTGCCAGAGTTGACTATAGGAAAACGAAGATGTAAGTTTTGCTTTCTCCATGTGGTCTTGATTCAGGAGACTACTTAGAAATCACTAAATATCCTTAAACAAATAGGTTGATTAAAAGTACAGAAAAGTTGGCCTAGCCTCCGTGATTCCGTATCCTCATTGGAAAGTAAAACAGAGAGCAAATTCCTCCTAACATTTTTAATTCTTTTTCGATTGGCTTCCAATTTTCCTCTTTTATCCCTCAAATTCATATTGCCAACATCATCTTTTTACAACCTGTATAGAATAGAAAGTAAAAGCATGCCACACTAAGGGGAAAAAAAGAAGAAGGCAAAAATAAAGCTGTGAATTTCAGTGAATCTACGTGGGATAAAGATCAGAATAAAACACACTTTAAGTTGTCAGATGCTACCTATGTTGATAAGAAAACATATCATGAATTTTTTACAAGTTTTCAGAGTTTGTAGTAAATGTAGAAATTGATTTGAATATACTTTATATCATTCAATAATAATAATTAGAGAGAGAACAATTAAAAAAAAAAACCAAAGCAAAATTTTCATTTACTGTTTGCTGACACTTTCAAACCCTATTCACCTCAATTCATTTTCACTATTTATATATATATATATATGTATATCCACCGTTTATTTCATTGTGTAATAGTATTTTTGTAGTTTTTAAATTTTCTAAAAGTATTTATTATAAAAGTTTTCGTGACATTATACTTAATTTGGTCTCTCTTTTCTAAATATTGTTTATTTGGTCTATAATTTTTTTTTATTTTGGTCACTTTGGTCCTTATTTTTTTTTAAATTAAAAATTTTAAGAAAAATATATGTTTTTTAAAAAATAATTTACAAAATAAGTTTTTAGCTAAGAATCTATTGATTTTGACATTTTTTTATACATTACTATAATTTTTTTAGTTAAGAATTTGGATAGAGATAAATAAATAATTTTTTTTTAATTTATGCAAAATATAAAGAATAATCAGTTAAATATAACATTTTGATTAAAAATTGTAAAATTGATAAATTTTTATTCAGTTTTGATTTAATATATTTTGATAGATGTATAATATAACCTAAGGTATCAAACTGAAATACTTTTTAGAAAACAAATTTATGTGTAGAATGGAAAGTAAAAGCTTGCCACAGTAAGGGAAAAAAAAAGAAAAAAGAGAGGCAAGGATAAAGATCAGAATAAACTCTCTTTAACTCGTCCTGCGCTGCCTCTGTTGATAACAAAAGCACATCCAGAGCAGCCAAGAGAAGCCTAGTCTGTAGCCTTTATAATGATGCAATGTTTAATTAGAGAGTTATTCAATTTTTATATAACTAAATTAGGTAGAAGAACCGATGAACAATTTCCATGTGAATTAAACAATTTAATTAATTGGTATAATGGATCTCGCAATTATGATCAGTTAGTTAAATGAATTTAGATAATATGAATAGCATTTGTATCAAGGAGATAAATAAATTAACGTTTTTGTTGAAATTTGATAATGATGAATCGAATATTATTTAGTGTTATTCATTAGGAGAAGAGATTTTAAATTTTTATTAATGTATAAGTTGGTTTGAAAATATTTTTTATCATTGAATAATAATAATAATAACAACAATGATGGTAGTAATAGTAATAATAATATCAAGTACATGTTCAAATGGTAAGTTGTGTAGACTGATGAGAATATGATCTATAATTTAATGTGTTATGCGAGCCAGCATAACGATCTCGATAGATTTTGAGCTAGATATATAGGCTTTTTAAAATTTTTATAACTTTAATTATCCACGTTATAAATAAAAATAACATTTCTTATATTTGTAGCTGTTAATTGAAAAGCCTTAATAATAATTCCTAATACAATTGCGAAGTAAGAATAATTTATCAAACCACATAAATTTTGTGTTGTGTAATTATCTCTTGTTTTTTTTTTGTTATATCTTTATACTTGATTCGTTTCTTAATATCAAAGCGCTTTTCGCATACCCATAAGGTATATTAAAGATTTAATTTTGGTTCTTGATGATGATGATGATAATAATAATAATAATGAGAGATAGAAAGAAACCAACACAGTATTATAAGGATATCAAAGGTTGTCTGCTTAATTCGTTTCCTAATATAAACGCTTTTCATACACACACAAGGTATATTAAAATTTTAATTTTGGTTCATGATAATAATAATAATAATAATAATAATAATAATTAAAGAGAGAGATAGAAAGAAACCAATACAGTATCATAAGGAGATCAAAGTTGTCTGAAAAAGTGCTGCAAGAAAATGCTAACTTTTGGTTTAACCGACATGTCGTTGAAATTCATGTCATTAACTTATTAGAAACTCTCTAAAAATAAAATTTTATCTTATTTTTTTCTTTCATAAAAAGAATAATTACTTCCTTTGATTTCATTTGAATTAAAATAGCTCAATCAAGTGGTAAGGTCGATCTCACTATTAGAATCAATTAATTATGAAACAATGCTGAAAGAAGTGGTAATTTTTTTCTATAAACGACAAGCCGGTTGAGGGGAAACGGTGAAATTTAAAAAATTAAAAATCATTCCGCTGCCAGGATTCAAACCCGGGCCCCCCGGATGTGAGCTGTTGGCCAAGACTCAATTAATTGCTACAGAGAATTATTATTTTAAGTAGCACAATTAATTTCGTTATAATAAATATTTAATTGTTTGTGGTTTTTTACTCTTAAATAATTTAAGTTCAATTGCGAGACTTAAATTTTCTTTATTCAATTTTTTTTCTATTTATCATTTCTTTCTGACCACCCTGAACCTGGGTTTTTTTTTTAATGATATTATGTTAAGCATTGGGAAGACTTGAAAAAATAAGTTAATTAATAATTCTCTCAAATCTCAATTGATGTACTTGGATTTGCCTCCTTAAAATCATATAATAAAATACTTGATTTGACTTAATTTTAATTGATATATAAATTAATACGAAAATTTTTTAGTCGTTGAATAAAATAAAAATAAATGTACTAAAGGGAGTCTGATACTGCATCTGAATTATTAGATGGACGGAGCCACATTTAAAATCAGAATATATATATATATATATATATATATCTTTGGAGAGGATCGAGTAAGTTTATTAGAAAAAAAAAAAAGAAGGTCAATTTGCTGTTCTAGTTAAAAGTTTTGTTAGAACAGCATTGAGAATTTTGTGAATTACTGACCCAAGAGTACACGCCTAAAAAGAAGGAAATTGTTGATTGACGGTAAATAATGATTGGTTTAAACACATGATTGAAAAAGTTTTACTATCATCGCTCTGTTTATTTGGAGAAAAACAAGTTTCATAGGAAAATCAATTCTCGAGAAAGCTATTTTTTTGAAAATTATTTTTCAAGAAAATATTTTCTACTGTTTGACAATTATATGAAAAAGTCACTGAAAAATATATTTCAATATTTGTTTGATACGAGAAAATTAAAATACAAAAACTTATGTGATTGTTATATTAACAAATTTTGAGAAAATTTTAAAAAGATATTCATAATAATATAAGATACATTTAGAAAAATTTAATAAATTTTCATCAATACTAACTCTAAAATTTTAATTCAAAAAATAAAATGTATTTTTTTAACAATCAAACAAAATCATCAAAATTACTTGAGACAAAATTAAGTCAATATTCATATTTGGTAAAAAAAGATTCTAAGTAATCTTAGTATTATTATTTTAGTAACTCAATTAAGAATTTTTTTTTTAAGAAATTGAACTGATAATTTAATCTAAAAAATAATTTGATAAATTATTTGTTATCATCTATAAATAATTATTTATTTGATCTCAAAAGATTAATGTTGGAATAATTTGTAACTAATTATTCATTACAATTACCAACAAAATTTTACAATTGATTAAAATTATAAATTATTGATTTAATTGCAAATGACTAGTGTTGAAAAAATAATGTATTTATTGATGAATTAATTAATTTTAATTTCTTTTTACAAAAAATTATAGTCTTGTAATAATCATTTTCAATCATTTAACTATAGCTTATGTAGTGATTGAGACAATAGTAAAAAAGAGAGATAAGTTATTGAAATATTTATTATAAAAATAATTTTAAGGTGTAAAAATGGTTTTTAAGAATATTTAATGTATCTATAAATCAAAAAATCAAATATTAGTAAAGATAGAGAAAAAATAATTAAATAATTAATAATAATTGATAAGAAATAATTAAAAATTAAATAATTAATCAAATATTAGTAAGATGATATATTTTAAATAAAAAGAAGATAGAGAAAAAAATTGTTAAAATATATCGAGAGAGAGTTATGCAACAAGAGAGCGAGACGACTCGTGAGAAGGAAAATATTTTACTCTTTTAAAACTCGGTAAAACATTTTCTCAAAATTACTCTATCACTTTCCGTTAACTGGAAATCATTTTCCATTGACTTTTTTCTTGAATGTGAAACAAACACTCGAAAAATGGAAAAAACAAGTTCCGGGAACTTGTTTTCCCCCAAACAAATGCAGCTCGTATTGTTTCTAAATTTATAAATAATAAACTAGCTTCATTGCACTTGTTTTAAGTGTGCCATTGAAAAAAGTGAAGTGAAAATAAAAATAACTAATGAAATGAAAATGAAAATTAATAGTTTTATTCTTAGACGGGGATGTGAGAATAAAATAAAGATAAATATATTCATTTGTTGTTATGTAATATAATATTCAAAGTCTTTCATTTATTTTTAAATTTTTATTTGTATTTCATTTGTATCCGAAAGTATTTAAAATATTTAATTTGTTTTTTCGATGAATTTTTTGACCATATAAAATTTTTTGATCAAAATGTGCCGATTGAAATGAAAAAATAATAAATAAAAAATTTAAGGACTTCAAAAATGAAAATTTTTTCGATCATATAAAGTTTTTTCATTTTTTTGACTAAATAATGACCATGTGACTTTAAATGTTTTTTTTTTTTTTTTTTTGTATTTTAATGGAGGATATTTTAATATAAAAAAATTATGGTTGGAAAAATTGATGAGAATGATAGACTGAACATTTTTTTTTAGTGATAGATGAGATATAATTAAAAATGTAAGAATAAATAAGATTCTTTTAAATAATGATATATTATTTTTATTTATTGTATATTAACTAGTTCTATCATTTCCAATACCAGTTTCCTTAGAGATGATGATAATATAAAAATTAATTTTTTATAATTATTTTTATTCGGCCACCACTCTTCTTTCATCTCTACTACCATTTTTTTTAATTTCACTATCATCTTTTATGTTTGTGATATTAATTTCTTAAAAATATATTATCGTAATTACTATACTAGTATTACTATTATTACCTTCACCTCCTCCTCCTCTTCCTTCACCACCACTCTAATTATCTTTATCATTTTTTATCATAGCTGATGAAATTATTTATTTAATTATTATTTTTATTCATCTTAAAATTAAATATTAAAATTTAAAATTTTAATTTTTTTTATTATTTCAAACACAATATTGAAATGAAAATGTCATTTTGATTTTTTAATTTTTATTATACTTTTTATATTTTTTATTTCTAAATTTTTTTATTTTCGATAATCAAACGACATCTAAAATTACTAATCCATTCATGTGATATCAATTTCTAATTTTCATCTATTTTAAGAACGAAAAACGCTATAATACACCCAGCAATCTGAATGCATTTATTAGCTTTCTTTTTGTTTGGATCAAGTTATAAATGATATAAACATCCATATTTAAATAAAAGTGGATTATATTAGTTAATGACATTAAATATTATTTTTATATATAGCAGTTTTAATCATTAAAATAAATTATGTTTTAAAACGTCGAGATTGATCAGAGCTTTAATTAATTATAATGAATTTGATCCTTTCCTCTATTATAGTGAAGGTATATAATGGTAATAATTTCACACCCAATCAATCATAATTAATATAAAGATGTCTTAATATAAATAAAGATACAAGAAAGCATATGTTTAAGGATTCTATTAAATCCACCATCAAATTTGCTATTCTTGCAACATTTTTTTTAAAAAAAATTACCAACAGACTCTATTATCAATAGCAGTTATTATATCATAGTTAAATATGTTTTACATTAAATATCTAAAATATCCATCAGTATTTTTTTCTTTTTAGTTTCTTTATTTTTTCTTTCATGCCCATTTAATTTTTAGATGTTTTATGTATTTGATATAAAATATATTTAACTCTAATATAATAGTAACAAACATAACTGAGGATGGTGTGTTAATAATTTAAAATACTCTACATGGTGGGAATAACAGATTTGATAGTAAATTTAGTAACGCCCTATATTTAATATTGAGTTACTAATTAATGATATTATAGAATACTTTATTTAATATAATCCGGGAATTTTTATTTGATTAATATTTTAGGATGAATGACATTATACAAGGGATATATCTCATGATTTGATGTCATTTGGGATCCTAAAATGAAGTTCGTTCTATCAATAATTGATATTATTTTTAAAATTAAGGTATGATTCAACGTTGAACTAATTCAAATGTAATAAATTTAATCTTTATCCATGCAAAAATTAATTTTAAAATATTCCATTATATATATATATATATATATATATTGGTAGATGCATGGTATTAAAATTGGGACCCTCAATTATTCTTGATGCCAACAGGAAAAGAGAAAAAAAATGAAGATACATTGGCACTTAATTAACTTGTCATGTCTTTGCGATAATGTTGAGCAGTCCACTGAAAGAGAAACATCATGTTATGAACTGGCTTTCCTTGATAGTCAATCTTTCTTTAGCAATTCTAACGTTTCAAAGATCGCTTTCTCATGGAGGTTCTCAAAAGCTTTTGGAGTTTGAAGCCATAAATAAAGATTAGAAAGTAGTAAAAAGAGGAGAAAAAAGAAAGGATGCCGGTCAAATTTTGGTTCTCCGTGACAAAATCATTGAGGTGCAAATTAGAGCCATCAGATGTGCATGATCCAAAGGCCAAGAGAGATCTGAGCAACATTCAGACAAGAAACTCAATCAAGTCTGGATGTTCAAGATCCTTGTCAAATCTAAGAGAGATGATTCATGGGAGCTCGAGGCATATAGAGAAGCCACCAACTAGCCCAATATCTCTAGAAAGCAGTGATTTTCTCAAACCCATAGCACATGAAGTAGTCCTTAGCGACACTCAATGTGAACTGAAGATTACTGGGTTTGGTGGAAGAAGTGGCGACACGGATGATTCAACCTTTGTTAACATCCTTAAGCTAGGGACACCTCGTCCTGGAGGACATGACATTGTTAGCTATCCAAGAAACAAATATGGTGATTCTCCTATTTATGGTAATGGCAATGGTATATCTTCCAAGCCTAGAAGGTCTCATGATGCAGAGTCCTATGGTTCTCCATTTTTAATTTGCAAGAAATGTTGTGCAAAATTTAAGAAGTTGGATGCTTTTGAAGCACATCATCTTTCCAACCATGCTGGTAAGAGGCCTTAATCAGCATCTTCAGTTTCTTTGCGTATAATCAAGTTTTTCTTGGTTTCTTTAACAATCTTACCTCTCTAGATAGTTATTCAAATCAATATTGTTGAAGGCTCATCTTAATGCGCTGTATTTCTGACAATATGAGTGCCTGCATTTGTGTTCTTTTATTTTAATATTGAAAATCAGGAGAATAACAAGATTTATTATGATAAGATGTCTACTTTAGGGCCCTTTTGAGTTAAAATTTTAAATATCAATGTCTTTATGTCTTTTACGATCCGTAGATTTCTGTTGTCTGAATGGTCACTGCCATTGTTATGATTGCTGCAGTTGTGTTTGTCTTTTCTATCAACTTATTGCTGACTAGCTATAACTAGTCTTATTTGACAATGTTTTAATTTTTTTAGACAGAAGCAGTCCTTTTTATTTAATTTTTCAGCTCAATTGGCCAATGGAATTCACATGTCACTGCCCTTCTGCAGTTACTGAACTTGTGGAAGGAGACTCATCTAGGAGGATAGTAGAATTAATCTGCAGAACAAGGTGGTTACAATCTGAGAACAACTGTGTTACTATAGAGAGGGTTTTGAAGGTCCATAACATGCAAATGACCCTAGTTCAATTTGAAGAACATAGAGAAACGGTGAAGATCAAAGCTAGCAAACTGCCTTCGAAACATTCGAGGTGTCTCGCTGACGGTAATGAGCTTTTAAGGTTCTATGGAACAATTGTTGCTTGTTCTCTCGGTAAGAATGGTTCCTCTAGCCTCTGTAGAATGGAGAAATGTGGTGCGTGCCAAATTTTGAGACATGGTTTTACTGACAAAGAAGCCAACGGTAAAAATGTTGGAATTTTTACTACTTCCACAAGCGGAAGAGCCTTAGAGTGTATTGAAGTAAATCAAGATAACCGATCTGTAACAAAGGCTTTGTTACTGTGTAGGGTTATTGCTGGAAGGGTTCATAGACCTCTGGAAAACTTTCAAGAAATGGCAGGTCAATCAGGTTTTGATTCATTGGCAGGGAAAGTTGGTCAAAACTCACATGTACTTGAGGAACTCTATCTGCTAAATCCCAAAGCTCTCCTTCCATGCTTTGTGGTAACTTGTAATCCTGAATGTTAAGAGTTAAATCACAAGTCAAGCAAATTTTTGTTTCTCTCTGCAATTTCTTTTTTGGATTTTCGTTTTCTCGAGTTCTTCTTTCTCCCCACATTCACCTACCATTTGAAGTCCCAAAAGTTTTGTCAACTTTATTGTGCCATGAAATTTTGGATTATTTTATATGCTTGTCGATACCAACACATGGCTGCACATACATTCCATGTTATAAATAATAATACTTGATCTCTGCCATGTCTCAGCCTTTTCAATTCTTTCCATTGTTTGAAGGCATGGGTTAACTAATACTTAATAGGAAAAAAAAAAAAAATCAGTAGCACATATCGTTGAATATATTGATGCACAAATGGTCAAATCATGTAGTCCTAGTTGTTTTAAATTAAAAATCCTGAAGGAATTCAGAATTTTTGTACAGAAATGACCTAATGAGATGCTGATTTTGTCCCTTCTATTCCTTTCTTGTAAGATTATTTTATTTTATTTTCATTTTCAACTTATCTGGAGTCTGTTGAGACTCCTGGTGTAGGTTCAGTACGCATTAAACATGGTCTACTCATGGTCCCCTGTCCTCGCAAAGCACAGGTTGGTCACTTCCAAAAGATAATTGTGCTGCCAGTATTGTAGTTTCTATATAGACTTAATTGTGCCTTCTGAATGCAATTTAACACTAGCTAGCACATTCAATGGAAAAAACAATGTTTGGTCCCAATCATCCAAAGATTCCATATACCACATTATAGACTTAGTAAACAATGGTGGAGGAGAGGAAAATGACGTTTAATACAATAAAAGATAAATGGCTAGATCTATTTTTATTGGTTAATCTTGTTTGCTTAAACAGGATTGTCAATTATATGATCATAGTTTTGGCTTGGAAATGGGTAGCGAGTTGCCAAGGGGATCGGAGGATCTCAGAGAAGATATGGCTCTGCATGAATGATAGCTTGAAACCAAAGGGTCATAATTGCATGGGAAGATGTTATTTTCATGGCAGTGGTATGACATGTGCCCAGGATAAGCAAGCAATAACAACCCCACAGGGCAGGAAAAGGACAGTTTAAACAAGCCATTAAACCACCACTGCAGAATTTAGGTTAAATGATGTAGAAGAGGGGTCACAAAAAAAAAAAAAAAAAAAAGTGGGTCAGTCTATTCTTTAATTTTCATGTCATTTAGTTCCAACTAGTTATCTGTGCTATGCTGTAAGTGATGTAGAACATATAAAATTAATTTACAAAATGATTTTGGTTTGATAACCTGCTTTATGTCATAAATTTATTAAAATATATTGAATCGAAAGGAAAAGAAATCATATAAATTTATAAATTTTAATCAAAATTTTGCATTTTATTTATTCTTATTTATGTTTTTTATGTTTTTTATTGTTAAAAAGATGGGCTGTTATTCGTTATATATTAATTCTTAAATAAAATCTATAATAATGTAAATTGATAATTTAATATGAAGATTTAAAAAACGGCTTAATTTTTTTTTTTTTTTCATAAGATTGCATTGAATAAAACAACAACAACAATGAATATAAAAACTTGTATAAAATTAACAAATGAATCTTTTAAAACTTTTTGAAAATATGTTCATTTGATTTATATATATTTATTTATAAAATAATAAATAATATTAGTATAAAAAGATGCATTTGAATTATTATGTGTTCTTCTAAAATATTATTTTAATTTATTTATTTGAATTTGTTTTAGAACATTATAAAAAAATTAAACGCAAATCATTAGTGTTATGTATACATGTACATAGATAATTTTCAATAAAACCAATAATTTCAAACTTTTTTTATACATTATGATCATACTCGGTAGGTCGAGTATGTAGTATAAATCAAAAAATATTTTTTAAAAATTCTAAGGAATATATTGAAGTTATTAAAGTACAATAAAAACAACTACAAAATTGATTTTGATAAAATTTGATTGTATAAAGAATAAGAAAATAAAAAATATGAAGTATATTATTCAATTAATTAATTATTTAAAAAAAACTATGTCAAAAATTCATACATAAAAAAAAATTCATATTTATTAACAAAAAAAATTACATAAAAAGAAAAATAAAAAATAATTTGATGATAATTTTTATAAGAAATGACAAATGAAATAGATCAGTTTTAAATGGTAGATAATATATATGTGTGTGTGTGTGTGTGTGTGTAATTTGAAAAAAATATTGCATATATTTCATAATTATATCTAATACATAATTTTCACACTCAACTCAACAACAACAACAACAATAATAAATAAATCCAAAAAAAAAAAACATGCCTAGGTTGCAGAAGTTGGCATGGGCTTGGAGAGACATGCCTAGATGGCCATTAAAAAAAAAAAAAAAAAAAACCCTCTAACTTTCGACAAATGAAATTCGTTGAAAAATCGAGGTTAAATTTTCAGGGACCCATAACCCATTTTTTCATCATTTTTGCCCCAAAACATTTCAAATTTACCAAAATAGGATCAATAAACTTGTTTGAAACCTTAAAAACTATTTCAATGCACATTAAAAAAAAATTACAAATCAAATAAAAAAGTTTTATTTTGGGCTATGATCTACCTTATCTAAGCATTTTATGACTTGAAAAAACCATACATACACTCTCCTCACCAAGAAAAATAATTTAAATGCTAGATCCGACGAAAAAATGATCGAAATCTAATATAGCCAAACATTTCTCTCTCCTCCTTTATCTCTATTTATTTTTCTCTAATCTCTCCGTCCAAGGACCACAAAAATATTTAAAAAATATAAGGGATCAAGATTACATCATATATATATATATATATATATATATAGAGAGAGAGAGAGAGAGAGAGAGAGAGAGAGAGAGTAATTATTAAAACAATAAGAACTAATTAATTTGTTTTTCAAAACTAAAAGAACTAATTTATGATTTATTTATTTTTTAGTCAAATACAGAATCTTAGAGCCTACAATCAATAGTTAGCGTAAAATGAGTATCTAGACCGTTAAAGAGTTAAATGTTAATAGTTAGAAACTAACAAAGCAAGAAGTCATATTACCAAGATATAATGAAAATAACTAACGTTAATAGTTAGAAATTAACAAAGCAGAGAGGTCATATCGCCAAGGTATAGTGAATTGATCACCAATATAGATATTAAAAGTTACTTTGATCTTTATTTTTTTATTTTTATTTTTACAATTGAGTATTTTCTTTTAAACTCCAATGCATTAAAAAAAATTGAATATGTAATCTCCACGAACATACAAATAATTCAATACCACAGGTACAAAGTTCTACTTGAATCGATTGCAATTCATGGCACTAAGTAATAAATAAAATTGTGCTCTTTCTAGGTGTGGTGCTAAGTGCAAATGGACCAATTGATAGAGCTTTAGGCTTAGGTAGATAAATGGCTATTGGGCCTTAGGGCTCGTGCTAAGCTAAAAAACAACTTCATTCATTTATTGTAGACTTGTACAAGAATTGGATATCATACCTATATTTTCAAGAATTAATGATTTATATAACAAGAAGAAATGTAACTAAAAATATCACAAATTCCAAAATTTGCATGGAATTATCATTCATGCTATTATTTCTATTCGTTATATTAGCCCAATGTAATTTTTTTTTTAAAGGTCTAGCTTGTTCTTTTCACTTGTAACTTTCCACACATTGACATGCAAGGCCGACACCAAGATGAATCCTGCTGTGTGGGCTTGGGTTGGCAATGTTCTTAAGTGGGCTTAGTTCTAGGTTTCAATACTCCTATTATTTCGGTGGATTTCTTACACATAACTGGATCATGCCTTGGATATATGGGCTTGGATTGTTTTAAATGTAACGGGACATGAAATTTGGGCTCCCATAAGCCCATCAAATTGTATCTTCTCATAATCACGAGCTCTTTTTCTTGTAGTATTATAGCTATTTGAACCATCACATTAAATTTAGTCTTATACCTATATTTTCCACTATATAAAAAAGGTTCTCTTTCTCATCAAAGAGACTCAAATAACATTTTACACAATTTTAGAAAATCAGCTCTCCCTTTCTCATATCTACATTATGTCTAAGTATTAATTTAATTATCAAATTAACCTCGTTGAAATATATCCAATATCACTAATATCAATACTTGTATTTCATATTTACAAGATTTAAGAAGAAAATAACGTCATTTTTTTTTCATTCTTTAGAAAGATCTGAATATTAGGTACAATCAATCTATATACCTAAATCAAAATAAATAAAAATACTTACTGATTTGGTTTCAATTTACTTAGAAGTTAGAAGACCAACATATGGATTGCATTGACTTTCTGTTCTAAAACGAAAGGAACATGTACATATAACCACGTTTGTTAAGGAAAACAGAGATAAACGTAAAAAAATTTCTCGATCACAAAGACTTTTTGGAAAGATTTATATCTCCTTTCTTCAAAAAGAACATGCAAGATAGAAATCGGAGACAAAAACCAATAATGCATCTGTCAAATTTATCATTCATGACATGCCAAGAATCCTGATTTTTCTTGATAAAATAAGGAGCAATCCTTATGCCTATTAATTACTAGTGAACACACAATATTTTTCTTCTTTGATTAATGTAGATTAACAAATCCATGTGTACTAAGTAAGCACCAACCTATCATGGAAAGGTCACACGTGATGTAGTAGCTAGATAAATGAATACCTAACCTCTTGCCAAACTCTCTAGTCTTCATGGCAGATGTTCTCTGTAACAGGGCTAGCTTTATAAATAATAGTTTTAATTGCTAGTGTTTTTTTTTTTTTTTTTTTGAATTAAGACGAGACCCGATGTTTTTTTCCCCTCAATTATCTCTTAGTTTGTCAAATTTCAATTGCCAAAAAAAAAAAAAAATTAAAAACAAAATTTTGAATTACAAGTTAGACAATTTTGACGCCATTTCTCTAAATTGACTTCAAATCCCTTGTATGAAACTTCAAATTTTTAGCAATTTCTTCGGATTCTAACTTAAAGTTTGTTTGATTGACATGCAATTTTATAGTTTTATCACAATTCTTTATGATTTTCTTCCAATTTTTGTGTCAGAAAACCATAATTATAAGATATGAACTAAAATAATTAGCACAATCTTAAGAAAAACTGAAAACCAATCCTCGTTTCTTTTTTTAATTACCTACAGTGAATAAACAGTCCTTAAAAAAAAAAAAAAAGGAATGCTATAGTAAAAGAACAGTTCTAGTAGTCCGGTTTTTTTTTTTTAAGATACTGTTATGGTGAATGAGTGAAGGAATAGTTTCAGCAGTCCAATTTTTTTTTTTTAAAAAATAAAATAAAGGAAACTAGTGGTAAAAAAAAAAAAAAAGCACTGAATGAACAATCCCACCTCCAGATTTTTTATTTTATTTTTTATAATTTGCTATAAAATAAATAAAGATGACATAGTTGAGGCTGAGCAATTGGTTTGAGTCGTAGGTGGAAGTCACGTGGACACCTTCTACCTAGTACCTCCCATGTTACATTTTCCCTTGCAGGCTTAGGAAATGAAACGTCTATATAAATTAATGCACCTCTCTATGGAAGAAACAAATATCATACCTATAATTCTCTATCACAATTAACCTTATACAAAAGAATCCTCTGCTAATTCAATCTTGTCATCAAGCATGGCGTCCCAGTTGACCAAAAAGAATACAGCTTGTGTGATTGGTGGCACAGGGTTTGTGGCATCTTTGCTTGTGAAGTTGTTGCTTGAGAAGGGCTATACTGTGAACACAACAGTCAGAGACCCAGGTTGGTGCAAGATTTTCTCTTCTTGTTTCCTTTCTTTGGCTTGCCCTTCGTTTCCTGGTCTTTTTGTTTCTCTGTTATCGTCAAAACCCAGAAGAAATGTGAGATTTTTGTGCTAATGTTTCTTTAATTTTTTGCTTGGACTAACTGTATTTACATTTATAAAACACATTAATTTTTTGGGTCTTCAGTTCATTAAGTAATTGAAATTTAAGTACTATATAACTGCATTGTATAGGAACAGGTAGAATTGTTTTCTCTTTCGGTTTTTGGGGTACAGAGTAGGGTAGAGTTGTTAAATTGCTTAGTCCAGATGGACAGACAAATGGGCTTGTCAATGAAGCCCCAAAGCTTAACAGGTTGGTCTCCAACTAAAAATTTCTTCTTGTTTGACTCTTGGCTCTTTAGAAGTCCTTTTCTATTCCATCCCTTTACAGGCCTTGTGTTATGGCTACGTTTTCCCTTTTAACTCTTGGGTTCATTTGATGAGTGGATGACACAAAATTTTGTCACGTCCAGTCCTTAAAAATACAATGTACCAAAGACTTATTCTCATAGTCCATGTACATGAACTACAAAGAGTGGTAAGAACTTTAGACTTAACAGGAGATTTAATGTTCAAATCTAACTTTTCATGTTTTTTTATGGCCACCACAAGGTTTATACCTGTTTTTCGGGTTCCAAGAGTGATGAGAGCTTGGAATCCCTAGTTTTAAGATCAACCTGTACCTTTCCAATCTAGTTGAAGAGTAGCAGTTAAAAAAAAAAGAAAAAAAACAGTCCATTTGCATAGAGTACTATTCCTTGGTGTGATTATGTGAGTTCATGCATATTTATTATACTGTTTCAAAATTTACAGTCACAATGTAGTGCTTTTTGTATGCAGCTAATCAGAAGAAGATTGCTCACCTAATAGCACTACAAAATTTGGGGGAACTAAATATTTTTGGGGCAGATTTGACCAATGAAGAAAGCTTCAATGCTCCCATAGCAGGTTGTGACCTTGTCTTCCATGTTGCAACCCCAGTTAATTTTGCTTCTCAGGATCCTGAGGTACAAATATTTTAGAGCTACATTTTACAGTCAATTGAAGCTACTGATGCTGCAATTTTACTATTGAGGTTGCTTCCATTTTTTTGTGTTTTGAATATAGAATGACATGATCAAGCCAGCAATTCAAGGAGTACGTAATGTGTTGAAAGCCTGTGCAGAAGCAAAAACAGTTAAAAGGGTCATTTTGACGTCCTCAGCTGCAGCTGTGTCAATCAATAAGCTTAATGGTACCGGTTTGGTCATGGATGAGAAGAACTGGACAGATGTGGAGTTCTTGACTTCTGAGAAACCACCCACTTGGGTAATTAACAATATGGTTCCACAATTTGATGATAGTAGTAGACCATTCTGAACAATTTTGCAGTCCAAAGCAAGCTTGTCCTTCAATTTGTATTACAGCAGGCCTGTATGAAACAAAATTATGTGAATATGCAGGGCTACCCTGCCTCCAAGACACTAGCTGAGAAGGCAGCCTGGAAATTTGCTGAGGAAAACAACATCGATCTCATTACTGTCATCCCTAGTCTCATGATAGGTCCTTCCCTCTCGCCGGATATCCCCAGCAGCACAAACCTTGGAATGTCTTTGATTACAGGTGTTAAAAGTTAAACGTTAAACCAACCAGAACATAAAATATGTGCTAGTTAGGATTTTTGTTCAAATTGAAAGATAATTTTTTTTCCCTGTGACATTTCAACAAATTGCAGGGAATGAATTCATGAAAAATGGTTTGAAAGGAATGCAAATGCTGTCAGGTTCGATCTCTATTACGCACGTGGAGGATGTTTGTCGCTCCCATATTTTCTTAGCTGAGAAAGAATCTGCTTCTGGTAGATATATATGCTGTGGTGTTAATACCAGTGTTGTTGAGCTTGCTAAGTTCCTGAACGAAAGATATCCTCAGTATCAAGTCCCAACTGAGTAAGCTACTAGCATCAGGATTTTCTCTCAAAATTTCCATTTTAGAAAAAACTAAACTGCCACAGAATCTTTTGTAACTTTTCTTGTTAAAATATACAGTTTTGGGGAATTCCCTTCCAAGGCCAAGTTGACCATCACTTCAGAGAAGCTTATCAGGGAGGGGTTCTGTTTCAAGTATGGAATTGAAGAGGTCTATGACCAAACCGTGGAATACTTCAAGGCCAAAGGATTACTGAATTGAAGAGTTCTAGTTATTTGTCACTTTTCATTAGAGGGATTGGCATTTGACTATGGAGAAATTCTAGCTTGGCTGTATTTGGTATCAAGGAATAATATCTCCAATTTTAAGGAAGTAAGTGTAGTACTGCTATTATGCTGAAGCAATTCAGTGCTTTTATTTCCAGCGAAAATTCACATCCAGAACTATTTTAGAATATCCAATCTATAATCGAAACCCGAAACTCAATAATTTAGTGGAGGTTGCCAGGGAATTTACAGAAGCAGAAATCCAAAATGATTTTGTTTGTCATCAAAGAAAAATGTCAAATCAATAAAACACTTAATCCCATTTCTTGCATCACAACTAGAGTTTGTGTTCAAGAACAGCAAGTCTGAAAACAACACAACGTTGTATCGTTATTGAAAACGTAAATAATGCATAAACCTGTAAACAATAAAAAGGATAGCAATAGGTTTCCTTCGTTAATTAGATGATATATATCCAAATAAATCAATACCAAACACTATGCAAATATATGCAGATATGAAATTTCAAATGCTGAACTTCTAGATTGTAAATTATAAAGTCTATCCTTACCCATTCACTAACTTTTTTCTCCTCTTGCTTTGTGTTACCATTTTTTCGTCTGAGTTTCTGTACGTAGATGCCTATCAAGGCAATTCCAATGAAAAGAACAAGATGACAAAAACTAGGAGAGGCAAATAGAAATCTATCATCTTTAAACTGAAAAGATGATAGATTATCAACCACTGAATCCTTGTTATAGATATATATTTTTTTAATTCTGAATGTTAATCTATGGTCAGGGTTTATTTCTTTTTCTTGAAAAAAAAAATCAGTGGTATATCAACTCTATTTAAGCATTGTCGTCATTAAATTTTTGAAAACTATTCATTATATATATGTGTGTGTATCCGTCCCTAATTTTAGTCGTCACCTAATTATTCACTAGTTTTGGAATGGTGGGACTTTGATAGCTATGTCGGGACTTTGAACCATGCTCATTGAAGACATACGAAGGGCTAACTTGTACTTCATTGATTCAAAAGAAAGAGCGATCCTATTATAATTTTTTGAAAAATCAAAATCCAAACTTCTAGCATATTCTAAATATGACTTAAGGAAAAATTATAATAAAGGAAGATCCTATTACATATGAAACCCTATTCTAAGGTTGGCCACAATCTCAAATCTTCATAGGAAATCATATCATTTATGAGCCTTCAAAGTCTCTCATAAAAGAGTAAAACTTCCTCATCTTTTGGGCATATGCAATCGGCCAAAAGCTCCACAATGTGTCGCATTTTCAAGGCATAATTTTTGACATTCTAAGCTTGTAAATGATACTCTATAATCCTACTTCCTCATTCAGTTACTTTTTTCCTCAAGGTGTCTCTTTCCCTTGTCACTCGTTTACATTGCCAAGTCATGCTCTTCTCTCGGATTTAGCTAGTCGCTATTTGTTGACCTTATCTTTCCTTTCAATTCTTCTATATAAGTATTTAGATGGAGTATTATATTTGATTGATTTACAATCTGTTATAACATCTCCGAATTCTTCGAGGCTATCCTTTTCGGTTCTAAGCCTATCAAAAACTTTTTTATTCATTGGAGTCGACCACGAAGCTCTTTGTTTTTTTTTTTTTTCTAGAGAACTCATCGCATGGTCTTTATTATCCAGACTTTCCTCCAAATTTCTCTTATTTTGGGTCAATTTGGCCACTTGCACATTCAAGCCTTCATTAAATATCTCATGTTGGGCATTTACCTCTTGACGAACATCCTCCATTTTCTCATTCATCAATCAAGATGGGCCTTCGAATGTTGGCACATGATATCCTTTTCCTTTAGTGTTTTGCCATTTTGGATATCTAGGCGAGGTTCTTTCGTCCACTCTTCTTTTAGGAGTGACAATCCCTCTACTTCTCCTAGCAACCTTAGCTCTCTATAAAAGTTTTTTAGAGAACCTTAGATCCTCATGATACTCGGTTAGACCAATCATTTTTTGGATGAACTGTTCTAATCCTAACTACCTTAGAAACATGTTTGGACAATAACCGATGCAGCAACAAGCTCCAATTAGTGATACTCAAGCAAAGTTACCACAAAAGACTGCATAAGTCTAAAAGAATGCATATCACACTCTCTAATGAAATTCGGACTTTCTAGACTAAAGAATAACTCGATCCATATTATCTTACCTAGCTCGTTGATGGCATGTGAAGCAAAATTCTCCAACTTAAAGTGCGAGATGCCATAGGGTACAAAATATATCGGAGGCTTTTCTAAGTCACTATGTGGCTCACGGTCCATATAAATAATAAATGTATGCAACATCTCAAATGTCCATCTTTCTTTCTTCGATTAAAGTTTAATGAAGAGAGGATTTCTATTAGAATTGCTACAGCGGGATTAACTTTGAGAGATACCACACTTTTAAATATATTGACCACCTCATAGTCGATCATGCCTTCAGTCGATGACAATAATACCGACCCATATATTGTTAGCATCGAGATTCGCAGTCTTACTCGTTTATTAGGATCTTGTAAGTGTTTCGTGAATTATGTTTGGAGAATGCCCTCAAACCAACCTTGAGATTGACCCCTCCTAGTTAGTTGCTTTTAGGATATAATGGGATTGATTTCGATTAACCATATAAAATTTGATGAACTTACTTGGATAGACTATAGATAACCTTGATTTCGGAAAATGTTAACAAAGCCTCATATTCTTCGAGTGTAGGTGACAAGTCTACACTTTTAAAGGTAAAACAATGATAACTTAGGTCTTAATATCTTATCATAACTTGAAAACACAAACTCGAGCCTTGATCTTGATCAAATAAGCTATGTCACCATATGTCTTTTGGAAGTCAAATTTGTCGTTAGGAGTGAGCATTTCCCAATAACCGAGGAGTTGACTCGTGTTGACTATCTTATCGGCTAATTTAACTTTTTCTAGTAACCTCAACATAAAATTTAGGGACATACAATCTCCTTCATCATTTTGGGTTTGTTCGGATCCGATCCTAAAATCCTCGACTTCATTTCTCATTTCTTCTATTATGATTTAATGTGAAGGACAACATGTAAAAACCAAAAGTTAGTACCACCATTATTTGAAAATGATTTGTGTCTTAATAGAGTCAACCTTAGCGGACATGATCTAACTTCTATGTGGTTGAGTAAAACTTGTCTAGTCCTCAAAATTTTTCAAGTTTTTAAACCGCCTAAATCACTAGTGGGGTAATTCGACCTATAACCTTATGCACGAGGAGGTAGGGGAATGTTATTCCATCATTTCCTATGCATAGGGTGAGTTCCAATCTAAACAAAAGTTTGAAAGAGCATTAGTAGACTTTCATCATAGTTGCCTTCATATCCTTCTATCTAAACGGTAGTAGGGTTTTAGCTTGAGTTCAAAGCTTTTTGCATGTTTCCTTCATGGTGTGTGCAATAGTTCAAAGAGAAGTATACAACCTAGTTCAAAAAATAAATATGCAAGCAAGAAAATAAATTACAAGAATTAAATTATGAAAATTAAAAGATATACGAGTAAATAAAATAATCAAAATTAAAGGAAAAAAATAACTCAAAAATAATTGATAAAAAATAAACATAGGAGATAAATTAAGTGGACTAAACCTATGGCCTAACTCGTAGTCTTTTATGAAGTTGCCATTACGTCACTACATGACGTCGAGTTGGACTCTAAAAAAATTCTAGGTTTAGATTTTTAGATATTTGCATCTCATTTATGGGTTATTCTGGAGATATAAGTTATTATTTACTTTGGAGTCTTCACCTAGTATTAAGAAACTAGAAACTCGAAAGAAGCACTAGTGCGAGAGATTCTCGAATAAAGAGTTAGTTACACTTTGGGAAGATATCGATCACCCAAAGATACCCTTTCATAAAAAAGGTAGAGTCTAGTTTAGTTCTATATTTATCTCCTAAAGTAATTTTATTTATGCCAAGTTATTTCTGATTTAAAAGCGCATCGTATTGAAATGATCGTTGATCCCTTTTGTCGAGTGATACGATAGTTCAAATATCGAATCCATTCTGAATCTTAGTACAACCGATATGTTAGAGAATATCTTGATTATTAAATATTGATGATTTATGATTCGATGAGGGAATCATCATCGACCTTTAAGAATTAGGAGACTCGACAATTCATCCACCTATTAACTATTAAATTAATTTTGAAACAAAATCCTAAAATTGAAATTAACTATTAGCTTCATTTCTTATCATTTTTATTGTTTTTTATTTAATCAATGGGGAATCATCATCGATCCTTAAAAAATTAGGAGACTTGACAATTCATCTACTATTTAGTTATCTAAGCTAATTATTGAAGTAAAATCTAAAATTAAACATTGTACTAAATAAATTCAAAGGCATCGAAAAAAAATAAATCTAAATTAATGTAAGAAATAAAAGTGCATAAATAAAAAAACATTCAGATTCAATTTATCTATATAAAAAAATGAAACCAAAGCATGAAATAAAAAAGAACTTACCCTTTTGCACATTGGGCCGAACCCATAAGTCTAGGCCTATTGGCCCATGCCTTATTCCTTTCTACTTTTTTTTTTTCCTTACTTGGACTAATTCCAATTCACTACGCCTTGCATATTTATCTTTATTTTATTTTACTTTTTTGGGTAGAGCTAGCTAATTCCAACTTCTCATTTACTTCCTTTTCTTTTCTTTTTTCCTTTTTTTTTTTTTAAAAATTATGGTCTTAACCCATCCCCTTGTTTAGCATGGGTTGGGCTTCAATTTTCTCTAGGCTCAAACAAAGTTCGAAATAAAAACTCATTTATTTTCATTTTTATTTTCAATCAAACGACCTCCCGACTCTCTCTCTCTCTCTCTCTAATTCATTCTACTTCAAAAACCTTCTCTCTATCAACTAAAATTCTTAAGTTAATTATCAATCTCTTAAGTTTATAATTGACGACATCTTCACAAGGATTGGGGAAAGAA